CATCTGCAGCTGACATTTTCACTGTTGGGCATGAAATTCATGACCTATAGCCTTGAGCTGTGGAGTGAACAGTGCAAGCTCTGCAGCTTTGTGCGAAGCATAGTTTGGGCTCTGGTCGGATGGGTCAGTGCACTGGAGGTGGTGGCAGTCTGATCTGCCCAAGCCACTTCTTCCAGAGCCCTGTGGGAGGGGCTGGGGCTGTGGGAAAAGGCTTGCCAAACTTGGTGGCAAGTTTGCCACAAAACCCCACATTTTATCAAGCAGCTGTGGAGTTGGCCACTGAGAAGTGACTTCATGTATCTGCAGCCTTACTAGCTGATGAGAGCTCAGAGGAGACTTAGTGGTGCTCAGCAGCCAGGGAAAATGGTATTTAATGGAGGAATTCAGTTCATTCACTTCATGTTTGCTATTTAGCTACAATGAAGACATACACCTCTGTGCTGGCCACCTTGCACTCCCTCCCTGCATGGGAGGAAATGGGGAAAAAGGCATTTCTGGAGTTTTGCCCTTATCTCTGTGAGCCAAATGCAATTAATTGCTTCCCCAAAAGTTCCTGTTTCTCACTGCTGGTTGGAAGTGGTGCTGAGAATGTCTCGTTAGAGGTGGTGGTATTTTGAACCCAATCCCACTGCAGGTCTGGTCTGCTCCACAGCTGATGTGTCAGCATTTGAAACATCCATAATTAGCCTGCACTTTTGTTATTATTGGCTTTCATTTCTCTGTCAAATGGAAAGGGTGAAATTTCACAAAGTCTGAGGAATTCCTGAAGGATAATCCAGTTAGCTCTTTGGTGAATTATTTATGGATAATAATAATGGTAAGAATAATAACACCGGTAACATACGCTTTCATTAGTTCTGTGCTGTGTGAAAAGTCAGAGAGGAAAAGCACGTTTAATGTTTATTCAGGGGAGGATTTGAGTGGAGAAGTATAAGGGAAGTAGCCTTCTGTGGAATAATAAACACAAAGTTATACATTGAACAAATGCTTCATTTTTATTATTCCCTCAGTTTCCGGCTGGAAGCATTATTGACTAGCTGTATTCATCTTTACCAAAACATCTCTTGTATACAGTGTTCCCAGGCTGTCACTTTCCAAAAGCACAGAGAGCACACCTGCAGGCTTCTCTCTGCAACAACTGGAGTTTTATGTATTCCTTATGTAAATACATACAATGAAATGTGCCTAAACTTTCACATACCTCTTGGAGATAAAGCTTTAAAGCAAATACCAGATACCATAAAGATATTTTAACTCATAAAAATGCCACAAAATGTGCATGTATTGCAAATGCCTTTAAAATCAATGTCTTCTTTTAGAAATGCACCCGATTTTCAGCTTGGCCCCTGGAAAGTCATTCTTGTAGCTGAGGATATTTATTCTGTTCCGTTTTTTGAATGGGATGCAGCTGTTGAATTCTTCAGACCTGAGTAAAGGCTCTTAAAGAGTTTTATTTATATCCGTTTTTTTTCTGTCGTCCTCTGTTTCTGAACAAATAGCAACAACTTCAGCTATTGAAAATTGTCATACTGCAGCTAAGGCAGGGTGACTTCTCTGAAGAGCTGGACACTTAGGTGAGTACATATGTGTAATTGTATTAAAGCGAGTGTGACTTCTGAAGGAGGCTGGCATGAGGTAGACTCTCCCCTCTAGTGCAGAAGTTCCTGTAGGAGATCCCTGGGGATCTAGAGAACAAAGAGCATGTCTAAGGCAATCAACTAAAACTCATCCACAGCCTATTAGAAGCGTATTGCAATGATACTTAAGTGTATAATCCCTCTTATTTCAAAATACAGGCTTTTGGATTGAGTTTCCCTGGAGTATTCTTTGTGATTATTAATGAGCTCTATCAAATACTCTTATTTAGCTCATTAAAGGGCATAATGCAGATAAGAACTCTTTAAACCCTGTAAACCTCAAAATTAATCTGCTCTCTAGACCCATATGTTACTGGAAATCTTTGATAGTAAGCTGAAATGCTGTGGTACTTTGATGTGAGTAGAGTTTGATAAAAGTTCAAAAGCAATATGCAGTGCTGTTATGTGTCTGTGAGATGGGGATGTTCTTTGTACAACAACAGTGTGAGATCCTGCAGGAAGCTCAACCTGGCAGGCAATTGTTGGTTTTACAAGGACACTGCAGTGAAAGCTCTTCGACTTCCTCTGTCTGTATGCCTTTTTTCTGCAAGAGCTTCATACTGGCTCTGAAGTCCACACTCCTGGTTCCTCCTCTTTTCACTTAATGCTTTGCTCAGTCAATAACAAAAGGTAAAATTTAAAGAGGCTTATGTGGATCCTTTAATTGACTAATGTATATTTTAATCGCAGTAATAATAATGTTGATAAGAGGAGCTGTTGTGACTACTTAACACAGACATATTAAAATAATTGGAGTGGGGATGCTTGCTAGATTGCCATTAGAAATTTTAAATAGGAGCAGAGAGCATTGACTATCAACAGCAAGGCATCCAGGGAATAAGGGGAGGGGAAGACAAGAAATAGAAGAGGGGGTAAGCAGAGGACATTGGAAAGCTTTCATGCTCTTCATTTATCTAAAAATAGGTTTTCAGTCTGCCTTTGAGTTTGTTTATGTTTGTCCTTCCTTTGCAGACTGTGGATGGAGACGTGTCTTTTCAAATGCTTTAGGAGTAGGGCCTGTGCTCTTTGTTCTTGGTTTCTGAAACAGGACTTGGAGTTGTGGTTGCACATTTGGGGAGCTGCTGAGGCCTGGACAAGACTCTTCCTGCATCCTCTTTTTTAAAATCTAGTGCAGCATTTTCCAAAATATCAGTTAAGTCCATAGTTCTCCCTGTGCTCTGCTTTCTGCAGGTCAGGTATCTAAACACCTCCAAAGGTGGGAGCTTGTCCTTGTGGTTCAAGGGCCGCTGAGGTGTGGGCTGTACCTAATGCTGCTTGTCACACCTGGATTTTGGAGCTACACTAAAAATAAAATCTGCTCTGTGGTTTTATTAAAACAAAGCTGTAAAGTGGCATTTTCAGAATATTGCAATGACTTGGAATATGTTTGGCTGCTTTTAAAAGTGTTTGATAAAATAGAGAGCATACCCTTCTTGGAGATTACAGCAACAGCACCAGCATGTCAGAGCAAACCCAGCTTTGGTTCCTCCAGGATGGCTTTTCTATTCTTCATCAGCCTTTCAGTCTCTGCAGCTCCCTATGATGCTTTCCTTTTCTGGAAAGAGGAATGATGCTGCATGTTCTCTCTTCATCTGTCTCAATGTATGGGCTTTTATTAGAGTCTAATAGGACTTGTCAGAGTATTTACGTCACCTCTTTTGGAGTCATCAGTTTCTGGTGATGGATAGCACTTAGAATTAAGAGATTAAAAACCCCCAAGTTAAATATATTGAATTGGTTTTTATTTGCTTTCTGCTTTTTAGAGATTGTGAGCACAGGCAGAGAGTGTCTGGAGCAGATGGGTGTTCTGTGGTTACTGGACCAGACAGCGGAGATATAATTAAACTGCCTTTTTTGCATGTGCAATTTGCAACCACTTCTCTCTTTTCACAGGTCTTAGGATCATATCAAGTGTAAATTTAATAGAGGTTGTTGTACTTCTCTTATTTATTTCCGAGTGAGCTGTTTCAGCTGAACCTAGTGCATATAATCTTGTATGGCTCTGGATGCTCAGTCTGTTTCTCAGGCTCCATGGCAGAGTTCAAAAAAGAATGCAGGAAAGCCTGGACTAGTCAGTGTTTTTCAATTCGTTTTCATGGAAATGCAAAGATCCAGTCTGTTTTTATTCACAGTAGCTCTGCTGTGTCTCCTAAAAGCTATTCTGCAGGGGCTTTTATACCCCAGGTTCTTTCTAATGAGCCTGGAAGGCTTTTGGTGGTGTGATGCCATTGCTGGGAGTGGAGGAAGGAATCTGTCACAGGAACTCCTGCTTGCAAGGGGAAAAATACATAGTTATACATACAAAGTTCTTGAATGGCAGCCACCATGAGGTACACCAGCACATTTTGGACAAAAACCATCATTCTTAACTGAAAACATTTTTTAGATTTTCATCAAGCTGTCGTTACTGTCCACAGGAAACATATTTTTCATAAGTGTTGTTTTTAAGACAAAATCCTATTTTTTTTTCCACTGAAAAGACTGAGATTTTAGGTTAATTCTGTTTCTAAAGCTATTTTTGACAGTCCCATGAGGCATTTATGTCTAGAATTGGTCATTGGTGTAACAAGAGATCAGCCAGAGGAATTCTCAATTCCTGGTAATTTGGTTCTCTTAATCCTGCATCTCTCCAGAGTCTGAGTGAGTCCTTGGGATTTTGCACAATTAAGAAAGAAACTAAAAGTCCCATACTCCTTGTCTATGAATGACAAAGTTACAGTCTAAGAAGTGTGTAATTTTTCTGTGAGAGTTTAGGCCAAGCTCAATTGAAAATTTTAAGATTAATATTTTGGAGTGCTCTGGGAAAAAAATAGTCAAAAGAATAAACCAAATGTTCATTTTCTTCCTTTTTGTTGCTGACAGGGTATATTTTATATAACCTCTCCACAAGCTGTGAACATTCTGTGTTATAATATTTAGTTATATTAAATGTTAAAACAATAGCATGTTTTTAAATATAAAGCTGTGCATTACTGAAAAAAGTAGTTTGAAATGGGAAAAAATAAGTTCCTAGATATGCTGGTAGCTAATAGAAATTATATACAAATAAGTTCAACTCGACAGCATAGACAGTGTGCCCCAAAGAACCTTTGGGTTTTTTGCAGAGAACACTTTTAGAGTAAAGAATCCAGGTTCAAAGCAGAATTCAGTTTTAGAAAGGAAACTCTCTCTACCTGTATTTCCAATAAATATGAATTTGAATCTGTAGTTCCAATATTGTTTGACTTCTTTTTAAATCTAAGATAAAGGAAAAGACCCATCTCTGACGCTCAGAAGTAAAAGGGGGACAGACTCTCAATACTTCACACACATTAAATTTTATCTTTATGCAGGCCGCCAAGGAAGGTTGGTGATTTTAGATGCTTTGTTTTCAGAGCTGGAAATGGCAGTTCCTTCATCACATGGTTTGAGTGAGCCAGGCTCAAGAAGGAGCACAACCCCAGAGTTTTGCACATTAAGGAAACTCAAAGAATATTGGCACAAGGGTTATGTGAGCTAAAGAAACTTATTTTTGAAGAAAGATTGCAAGGACTACAAATGTACAGCATATTTATGAGAGGACTAGCAGGACACTGCTCTTTATCTGCAGCATCTCAGCAGTCAGTGACAGTACTTTGCTGAGGTTATTCAGCTCTCTCTGCAGATAAGGCAGCTGTTTTTGCCGTGGAAATCCTGTATGGTTTGGTGCCTAATGTGCAGCACACCAGCTGGTCTTGGTACCTCTCAGCCCTGGGCAGCAGTGTGGAAAGAAGCTGGAAGTGGAGGTGAGGAGCTGCATAATTTGAGGATTTGATGTTGGATCTAAGAGACACTGAAAATGCTGAGGCCTCTGCATTGATTTCCCTGGGCTTTCATAAGGCTCCAAAATTAAGGGCATCTGATGTCCGAGTTTGGTGCTACCAGGAACCAGGCTAATGGCCAAGATGTCAACCCAGGAGGGACTGTGAGTTTTTGAGCTGAGGCTCTAATGCCCTGGCTGGTGGACAGCTCTTCAGCCTGCTGATTTAGAGGTGGACAAAGCATCTGGGTAGATATTTGGAGGAAAAAAAAATCCAGAAAGTCACACTACATAATCTCCCTTGCCATTGCTGTGAACTCGAGCCCGTGGTTCTGTGTGCAATCTGATGAAGCACTAGGTCATGCCAGCTGACAAACAAACTTGTCACTCTGAAGAATGACTTGGTGAAAAGCCACACAGGGCAGAGCTGCCATCAGAATAATTGGTGATTCACTGTTTGTTTCTCACAAATTTCCTACGCTCTCTGCCCACGCAGTATAGATGACAGCATTCTGTATGGGGACTGTGAACATGACAGACATTATTTATGAAGCAGTGCCTTTATCAAGGATTTTTTTTCCCCTAGCAGACTGTGTAAAGCACTCAGTCTCTGTGTTGCTGTTGTCAAAATTGTGTTGTAAATATAGCTGGACTGCCTGAGTAAATTTTCAGAGGTGTTTTAAAAAGCTCTGTGTGAGAAGGTCAGGCAGAAGCTGCTGAGAGCTCTTTGTTCTGTTCTGAGGTGCCACAGCAGCTGTGTCCAGCACTCTTGGCTACTCCTGACAGTTGGGGCAGTTACAGTTGGTTCTGAGTTTGCACATCCACAGGTTGAAGGATTTTTGGGAGGAGATCTGCACCTTCCTCACTGCTCCTTGCACTATCTCAGCACATCTCTGGAGTAAGAAGCAGGGAACCCAGTCACAGCTTGTCTGTGAGACTGAGCTTTTCCTTGGGCCAGGCTCTCAGCTTGCTTCAAAGTGGAGAAAGGAAAAGATAATTTTTCCTCTTTAAGATTCATGACGTCTGGCAGCAAAAGGTGTCCTGGGAGTCACAGCTGCTCCAGCTGGGCTCACTCTCGGCTGCTTAGTACACAGCTGCAGGTCAACAACATTATTCTTAATTTATTTTATGATACAGCATATCTGGATGTGCGTCCTTAATTCAAGCCTGGTTTGAGCAAACATTAAAGAACACTGAAGACAGAAGAGAGCTCAGTTAATGGGTAAGGAAACCGAATAATCCTGTATAGATATAGGATAGAGGTAAGTGTGATGGAGAACATCGTCTGAATGTGGCGTTCATGGTGACATCAGGCTTAATGTTTTTGGGCTTTAGATGAATTCAAAGATAAGTGAGCATCTTTGATTCAGTGGTGAAAAAAGCTGGCACTACCAAGCATTGCCAGGGATTACTTGGCTCTGGAAATCCATCAACAAACTGAGAGCCCTCAAATACTGTTTGTTTTCAGACCAATTTCATGACGGTGCCTGTTTGCATAAAGACTGAGAGTAATGAAACTATGGAATGAGAAGTGACATTAACGTTGGAAACCAAACTGTGTAATTAGATTGATTTGTATTCGAGTGGCTTTGTCAGGTGGTTTGCTTTGGAGTCTGTGGTGACACGTCTATCCTTTTTCGTATGCTTTGTGCATGAAGGGCACGTAACCCAGGCAGTTGTGAGAAAAATATGCTGAGGATAAAGGGACTTTGAAAGCTGATGGCATGACAGCTGCCACTGATGGGTTCATTTTGGCAAATAACACTTTCTGTAAGATCAGGTTTTATGGCCGTGGCTGTGTTACTGTTGCATTTTTAAATTCGCGTTAACTGCATACAAGAAAGTCGAGACTCAGAGCTGTTCATTATCTGGCTCAGTCAGTGAGGAGCTTGTAACTCTAGCAATTGTTTCTGTTTTTCATAACAGTGGGAACTTTATGGCTATTTTTCCCCTTTTCTGTCCAAAGTAAATGTGCTGTTTCAAAACAAAGAAAGAAGTGGCGGAATGTCTGGTGGGTACAGTTTGAATTTGAGGTCCTTCACGTTGGAGGGACAGTTTAGAAAATATACCTTTTTCCTGAAAATTGATGTTGCAGCACAGTGTTTTTATTTGTGTGGATCCATTTTACATTTCCTACTTTAGAAGTCACATTTTTAACAAGCCTCCATGTTAATATAGTGGTGAGGTTCAAGGTGCTCTTTAGAGGTCTATCCAGGCACATACAAAGATCCATCAGTCGACCTATAGCTATATATCCATTCAGAGCAGTTTCTATAGTTCCAGTATAGTTGAAGTGGTTTCTTAAAAAATATTTAAACTCTGTTTGGTATTGAACTTAATGGCAGATCAGAAGTCGTGTGCAAACAGTAAAATTTTTTTAAGAAATGCCAAATAGTGCTTTGCATTAAGGCAATGTAATGTCCTGTGCTGTGTTTTGCAAAATGGTATCATATTGTGCTTCATTGCATAGAAAGAAGAGGAAAAGTAATTGCATGGATGAAAAGTATTCATAATGCTAAGGGGTGCAAAGCCACCTCTTTGTACTCACAGTATTTTCCCTTGTTACTAGATTTTGTGTATTTTCTGAACTTTTCCATAGAGAATTGTCTTTGCAGGGTCTTCAGGAAAGAAACAGAATCAGCAAAACAGCTGCTGGTGTGGGTGGAATTTGATATCCCAGATCTTATGAAAACCCCAACAAACAAAGCAGGAAACACAGTCCCAATAAACCAAGTAGATTGGCAGAGCACTGTAACTCACTCAGTGGTACAGACTTGTCCGGGGCTGCATGACATCAGTGTGTAGCACAGGGCAGTGTTTGCACATGTGAACATAGTGTGAGTGATAAAACTGAAGTGTAGATTATGTAGCAAAATAAGTAAAAACTCCTATTCTTTAAAAGCTAATTGTTTTCTTGTTGTGTGTTTGAAATGCTCTTGTCCCTGCCTTCTAGAACTCTTGTGTTGCTTACACTGCAGCTTACACTGCTGTGATATAAACTCAGGACTCAAAGAAAAACTTCCTTAAATAAGAAAATGCCTCCTATAACCTTTTTTCAGCCTTTATCTCAGCCAGTTTATGAAAAAGAGAATGTGCATGAGGAAGCACATATGGTCACAGTACAGAGTGGGTAGGTGGTCACTGTTAGAGGTGTCCAAGTCAGCTCTGAGAGTAGCCATTCATGTCATGAGTTTGCAGATGGCTCTGGAGGGGCTGGAGATTGCTCTGGCACTCTGCTGAGGTTCAGCATGGTAGGGAGGGAGATGTTGGAGTAGGCAATGGCTTCCTGAGTAGGGCAGTTGTCTGGGATGGAGTGAACCTGGATCCATGGGCCAAGCCCAGCAACATGAGGTTCAGCAAGACCAAGTGCTGAGTCCTGCACTTTATCCACAACAGCCCTGTGCATCTCTCCAGTCTGGGGGAAGAGTGGCTGGAAAGTGGCCCAGTGGAAAAGGACCTGAGGGTTAACAGTGGCTGAACTTGAGCCAGCAGTGCCCAGGGGGCCACAAAGACCAGTGGCATCCTGGCCTGTACCAGAAATAGTGTGGCCAGTAGGTCAAAGGAGGTGGTTCTTCCCCTGTCCTGGGCACTGGTGAGGTCACACCCCAAGTTCTGTGTCCAGTTTCTGGACCCCTCACCACAAGAAAGACACTGAGATGCTGAGTATGTGGAGGAGTGTGAGGAGCTGAGGAAGGGCCTGGAGCACAGGTCCTGTGAGGAGTGGCTGAGGGAGGTGGGGTTGCTTAGCCTGGAGAAAGAGGAAGGTGAAGGGGGATCCTACTGCTCTCTGCAACCAGCAGTAGGAGAGGACACACCCTCAAGTTGCACCTTGGCAGGTTTAGGTTGGACATTCTGAGTAATTTCTTCACTGAAGAGTTGTTAAGCATTAAAATGTGCTGCCCAGGGAGGTGGTGGAGTCACTGTCCCTGGAGTTGGTCAAGAAATGACAATGACCACAGTGCTTGTGGTTTAATTTACATGGTAGTGTCCAGTCAAAGGTTGGACATGATGATCTCAAAGGTATTTTCCAACCTAAATGATTCTGTGATTGTGTGAAAGCTTGGTTCAAATTCTTGCTCCAGGTCAGTTAGTACAGACTTCTTCCCAAGTCCTTTGTGTTTCAGTTGAGTAACTGAGAGCTGTCACTTTTAATAAGTAAATATTTAGAGATATCTTGCATTTTGTACCTATCAAGTAAATCACACTCAGCCTCACTCTCCCCCCAAAAGAAGAAAATAATGCTCTAGAATTGTTTTCCAGCCAGATCTGGTATGTAGGTAGTTGGATGACCGTTTTCCTGTGTGCAACAGACCTCATTTTTCTTTCTGTCAGTTGTACAAATTTATAGGAAAGACTGGTATGAAGCACTTGAAACGGTAAGAATAGAGTTTTATACTGAATTAAAGACTCTGCTCTTATTCAGATCTTAGTTCTTGGAGTTACAGAATGATTTGATTTTTAACTTCATTTTGAGATTCTGGTAGTATCCTTGTCAGATCATGTAATCTGCATGAGTATTAAAAGCTCAAAATCCAGGAAGTAAACTAAAGTACTCAAATATGTATTTTTAGCTTTGTGTACAATACTTAGGCAGATAAAGTTTTTGCAGACTTGGAAATTACAATGTGTACTCTTTCACATGCATTCTCTCTGTTAAATAGTAGGTAATTTCCTTCCTTCTAAAATGCTGCAATTTTTTCTTTTATTTAGAACATAATACAAATAGATGCCAGTCCTAACTGTTCAAAGCATTGGCTGTGGTCACATAGATACTTCTAATTGGGTGCAGAAATTATTAAGTTTTGTGCTGTGCAAGCAGAGATCCTCATCGTTTCACCAGGATATATTGTACTTCTTCAGGATCATATATCCAGATAGGACATGTAATTATATTCTTTTCATTCAGATTGTTTAAATACAGTTCACATATAGTTTCAGCCTTACTATTAGCCTGCAGAGTTTGTTATTCCCAGTGAAGCAGGAGCAAGTTTTAAGACTTCGAAAAACATAGCACCAGCCTCTTGAAATGTACAGTAAATGAACTAATAGAAGGGAAAATAATTCTCCTCTTAATGAAGGCAGGATATCCCATATATTTTGTGTTGAGATTGATGAGAAACTTCTGTACCTCATTACTGTGCTCTTAGATGGTTTAATTACTATAGTTTTTCAACTTGTTACTTCATGCAGTCATAGTTGTGACAGCACTGCTTGTACCCTTAACCTGCAGCAAAATTCAGAGTATTCCAATATGCTTAATTCTCTCTTACACATGAAAACACACAAAAATCTGTTTATGTGAAGACTGACAAAATTTCAGCTGCAATTCTGAAGTTGGATCTGGACTTTTTAAGGCGTTCTGTTTCTGTTTTGACATCTCCAAAAAGGTATTTGGTCTCTTCTAGTTCTAGTGGTTCTTCCTGATAAATCCCTTAAGAAGTACTGGTATCTTCTGAAGTAAGAAATGCAAAAAATCTGACCATAGATTTCTAACTTCTGAAGGTTAGTTTTCTGAATCTGTTGAAAAAGTTCACTATAGAGTCTATATGTTAGGGATGAGTATTTTGCTGGGCAATACCTTTGTATTCACATTTATTAATTTATTTGCATTCAGGTTTATTAATGTCAGAAAAGGAATTACATGAATCTCCATTACACATCAGATTTTTGTAAGAGAATGCTTTTTAAATACTCTAAACATGAAATAGTATCCTGAGGCATTTAGAAAGCTTGGAAAGGTTGATCCGGAAATATTTTCCCCTTTATTTTAACAATTTTAATACTGCTGTGAAAGCATGCTCCTTGTTCTGTTCTCTGTTTATCCTTAGACTAAAGTTAGTTTTTACTCTGATAAATAGAAATCACCACTGTAATAGTCTGAAATGTGTATCTTTACCTGGGCACGGGCTCATGCCTTTTTGCTAGATGAAGTATTTCTGCTGTGGGTGTGAATTTTGTCTCTCCTGAGCAGAATACCAGCTTTCCAGTGTTCCCACAGGGGTTGTCTTGCAGTACTGATCCTGAATACATGGATTTCCAGCCTTGGGAATGAGACAGGATGTGAGGAAGTGTCTATCTTTAGTACTTCAGTGGTTATATTAATTGCCATTAAGTAGTTTTGATATCTCAACCAGTGTTTTGTAAAATGTGATCTTTCTGATAAAACTACACTCAAATACAATAAAGTGTGAGATAAAGCAACTTTAGTGCAAGGCTTCAAAC